TTATCAGATGGTTGTACACAATGATTGTGATACCGATCATAACATACAGAGCATCGCAGACTTCGGTAGGACTTCAACTATGGAAGCTGCAGCGACTTGCCTACATCTACGCATCGGGCACGATGCGTACGTCTTCGACTGTAGCACTGGAAGTAATGCTGGAACTCACACCATTACATATAGCGATCGAACAGACGGCCAAAATAGACCCTGCGGAGGGCACCACGCACTAAGCTCTCCATTCCAATGGGAAGTTTTTCTAGCATTTTCCAGGCGGAAATATATGCTATAAGTCGGTGTGTAGAGATAAACATCCAACGCAACTATCGCAATAATAGTATTGCCATACTCAGCGATAGTCAGGCGGCACTAAAAGCGATCTCCGCTTTTGAGGTCAACTCGCTATTAGTGCAGGAGCGCATAGAACGGCTGAACAGCCTATCAAATCACAGTAGAGTGCATCTCATTTGGGTGCCTGGTCATAGGGGTATAGCCGGAAATGAACTGGCTGACGAGTTGGCTCGCTCTGCAGCCTCCACAAAAATGGTAGGTCCAGAACCATGCGTAGCGGTTGGTCCACACACCATTAAAAAGCTTATCCGTAAAGAGGAAAGGGCAAGCAGGGAGAAACATTGGCAATATATCCAAGGCATGCGCCATGCCAGGTTGCTGATGAGGAGTTACGACCTCAGACAGTTTAAAACCGTAATCAATCTCCCGAGAAATAAATTCCGGCTGCTTGCCCCGTTCTACATCGGCCATTGCAGGCTCAATAAGCATATATTCAACATGGGGTTTGTCTCTTCTGCAAACTTCCGGCTCTTTAACATGGAGCCGGAAACCCCAGAACACCTGCTAGTAGAATTAAGGCCCTGGGATCCATGTTGGGAAACATCGCATCGCTTCACTAGCACCTAGCAGTATATTAGAGTTCATCTATATGCTGGGGCTAGACGAGTCGTTGTGACTTAGGGGAGAGCACAATATACCATAGGTCGCGGTGTATACCTCTATCCATATCTATTCTATTCCATAGAATTCATACTGCAATAGGTTTTTCGATAAATCTTCGATCGTCTACCTTATAACTCACTCTTGAGTTCGATTAATTGAGTGTTAAATATCTTTATTTCTAATTCCAACAACTTGACACTTATTACTCGTTGTTTGAGTTTACAACTTATTGCTTATAGCTCTTTACTAAGCAGCACTCTAATTAGAACTATGTGTGGTGCACAATCCGGCAGCCCTTATATAGTAGATATTTAACAAAACTTCGACACTAAAACATTCTGGCACTACGAATTCGCTAGTTGATTCTGGCAATTTATCGTCGATTCGATTTTGTTCCATTATCCGTGTTCGTCACAATACAATGAAACGAAATGCTTATGCTCTGGAGAAGAGGCGCAGTGAGCTTTTTCACCGAAGGGCTAAGGAGAAGGTGTAAGGAGCTCTCCGTCAATTTTAGCTGTAACCTACCCAAAAAATGTAGTGGTTGTCATGCAAAAGCGGCTGCTATTATGGTGGAGGTAGATGTACTACTACGAAGTGCAGCCTCTTTTAGGGAGTTCAGCATTTACTCAACAACAGTGTGACAATACTAGAGCTAAGCTCGCTAACTATGCACACAACGCTTGTAAAGAAGTGTTTATCCTCACTAGAAATAGCATTAAGCTACTTCATCATCAGACTCTTTTGGGTACCTGGTCATAGCGGAATCGCTGGCAACTGCAAAGCCGATAGGCTAGCCAGATGGGGCACTCTTGCCCAGCCCATATCGGAATAGGATCGAGTTGAATATCTATTGGCGTCTTACGTTCTAGCACTTGACCAATAACCTCGCGAACGCTTAACAGGTACTGGTCGACGACTAACTCCACAGAAGATCTACTGAACTACTTTCCCTCCTGCCATAATTATAGGGGTTTCTTACAGGACAATGTTCAATGGCATTCATGCGGTAAAGCTAAAAATCTTGTCGGGCGCTAGTTGTCTAAATAGTATGAAGGAGGGTGAGGTGTAAACTTCTCCTATATTTTCCAGCCTATACAAGACAGTCTTACTTTCGGAGAACCAGAACACATTGCCGAAACTGACATTAGCCACCTCAACAAGTTTGCGATATACTCAAAACACATTATAGATTTGTGATGGTTTTATGATCTATTATATTGGAGTTTTAGGTACAACAACAGAACGGCGTTCTAAGCTGTTCAAGTGAGATCTCTGTTAAGGTCGACCCGTAACCTAAGCCAACATAACGCCATTCCTTTTCTTCAAACCATTCGAATATTTTTAACCACTAACTACGAAATTTCGGCTTTGAAGGTCAGGTGAGCATTTATCACAATTAAGTCAAATTGTTAATTGACATATCGCAAACGTCTAATATTTCATTTACCTGACATCGATATAACTTTGTTAGCTTATTGCGCAGGTTCTAGGTATATTAATGTTATCCTTAAAAACAAGTTGAAAAGTATAATATTAACAATTATTTAAAGTAAAAATAAAGTATTTATTCGACTATGAGCACCTTTTTCTTTAATTTAATGCATGAAGTTGACGGTATGCGCGATTTTATCAAATTCTTGACACTTTCCATCTTTATTTTACAGTTTCAACATATAACTAATATAGAACTAATGGAATTAGAGTTAGATATCTTATTTTCTACACATTGAGCTATTTTTTAGTTAGTATAAATCGCAAACAACATAGTATCCCATTTTGAACGAACAAATCGGGTCGACCTTAGAATACCGTCCCAGGATTTCATGAATAAAATGGATATGGGCGAATAGAGAAGGTCCTCCAGATAAAATAAATGTCTTAAAACTAATCAGTGAAGTGTTAGTGGATATAAAAGTGAAAAATATAAGTGCATATTTCATTTTTAATCGAAAAAATGCCTACTTTGAATAATTGAAATTTTCAATTTTGAACGTAAATACCTCGAAAACTATAAATTATATCTATATATAATACCCATTTTATCCCCGAAAGCCTGGGACGTTATTCTAAAGTTTTCCCAACAAATCTAAAGACTAATACTATGTTCGCACCGAATTGAAATCCTCTTGAAAACACAATTTGTGGATTGTGGAACCAAAGTCGTTCTGACCGACATTGTGTGTTTTCGATGAGTTTTCATTGACAGTTCACACATCTATTTGTTTACATTTGTTGTGTACCCTACAAGAACAGTGACGGTCATCTGATGGGTAATATGACAGTCATAGCTGAAAAAATTTTGTCAGCGCGCAGAACAAAGTTTCTATAATTTTCTTAAGAGCCTTGTGCAAAAACTGATGTAAACAAACGTAAAACTCTTTAACACATGGGTATTTGAAATTGATTCACTATATATCTATACTGCTCACTCTCATGTCTTTTTCTGAGTCATTGCTGACCATAAATCCGTCATAGCTGAAAATTGTCAGTTATGACTGAAACGCTATCAGAAATGAAAAATTCTTTTGCGCAGTAGATAACACATTTTTTATTTCTTTAATAAATTTCAAACTTTTAATCAGAATTAGTTATAATAATATACTTAAATATAAAAAGGAATGCAACAAAAAATATAATAAAATATAAAAATAAAAAATTTTCACTTGATGTCATCTCCTCCTCTGAATAGCTCTGCGTACGTCGTTCTCCAATCAGTGGATAGTTCTGAATTTAAAAATGCAAATGTAAATTAACAGTACTGACATATCAAATGTGAGTGTATTAGTGAACCCATTGGCAGTTTCTTTTAGGGTACGTTTAGGCCAATTATGGATCGTAAACAAATTGTCAATTGACATTTAGGGATGGCAAAATATGTCTTCTAATAATATCGATAAACATCGATTATAATGAGTAGAATGTAAGTTTTCAAGGGATTTCAGCGAAAACTGTGTTTTCGTTTGATAGATTTTGTATGGATGAAAACACAAGTTTTCGCGTGAAAACTTCTTTTGTCTATGAAAACACGAATTTTGTGTCGGTGCGAACATAGTATAACTTACATTCTAAATATGTACATCTGATAAAAAATATTACCTGGTCGGCAAATGCCGGCTTGAAGCCATCTAACATTTTTACTATGTTTACATTGGGACTCTTTTGACCCTCATTATCGGCAAATTCTCTTTTGGTGTCGCTCTGTGCATTCACACGAGCAAAAAGAGTCCAGCAAAAGAATCGAGTTTTTCTGTCATTCTTTTTCATAAATTTTTCGAAAATGTTTGTGCGGTTCGGCTACGCGACACTTAGACTGTATTGCATATTTCATTTGTATATTGAAATGAAGGTCTCACATTTTGCTTGCATTGAGTTACCATCAATGTGGTAGAACAATATGAATAATACCTACCCGCTTAATAGTTTCAAAGAAATACTTAAGTCGGGAACTCCCTAATCCACCAAACTGTATTGAATGCCCGCTACAAATATTTTCAAAGCCAAATTTATAACAGGAATTTTCTAAGCTTTAAGTATTAAAACCCATAATATTTTTATTCCATATTTTTTTCTTTTTATTATAAAACATCCTTGAATTAGTTACCATTCTTGTTTTAAATAAAATGATATTCGAACTAAATTCTTTGCGATTATGCGGTAAGTTATTAAAAATTTAAATTTAATTTTGATTATCTTAATTTTCTCCTTATTTACAATTTTTCAAAATATTTCTATTATACTCGTCGTCTTCTCGCCCACAAAATACCGGTTTGGGTTAGGAAAGAGTCCCAATGTAAACACATACTTTGAAGACGGCGAAATATCAAACAGTTGAAGTACACTATTTCGATGTTGCCGTACAAAACGTTTCACTTCAATGAAATTTAAATGTATTGTTCACAGTGAAATTTGTTGTCCAAAATATATGAATATAGTTCAATTCATTGTTTTAAATTATTAATTGTTATTACAAATAATATATCAGTGCTATTTTATACTTCTGTTAGTAATTTAACATTACATTTGTTAGAGATTTGAATAATTTTGAACTGTATTTAACTGGGCAAGTCTGCTGCCGTGAAATTGTGCAGCTGTCTAAATACCTCTGCCCATAAGAACGTGTGTGTTTTAATTTTTGACAGATGCTGCCTGTCGTGTTCAGCACGTTACGCATATGATGTACTTTTTCTTTATTGGGATTTGGTCACCAATTTTATTGGTTTATTGTTATCGATTTCAATAGTTTTTAAGGGTATGATTATTACAGCTGATAAGTACCGAACTTAAACATATGTGCTCAGAATTATAGTATAAATAGCCTATAAAATGCTCAGAATAGAATAGGTTATATTCATTTAATAAAATAATTGCTTTTACATAATACACTCGTCCTTCTTTTGTTTGTTTATTGTACATTCAAGCAGTAAAAATAAACACAATTTAACTGGCGATTTAACAAACGCTCAATTTTAGAACAAAACATGGAGTCTCATGAGTCAAATGATACGGACTATAGAAGCTGGATACCCAGTTATAGTGAATTGCCAATGGAGGTAAGGAAGTAAAATTAGTGATATATCTTTTTTTGTAATACTGTTCACGTGATATCCAATTATGATATATAGTATATAAAACCTTAAACATATACATATATATGTACATAAATGTTTGTACGAAAGGTCTTCAGCAAAACTTCTATTGCAGATTATTCAACACATATTTCGATTTTTAAGCTTCCCAGATGTACAGGTAGCTGGAAAAACCTGTCAGCGATGGCGTGAAGCTTTATTTAACACTGAATTCTCTAAAAACAGTTTAATTCGATTCTCAAAAGTTTGCTTTTCTGATAGAAGCCCCCCTGCTCAAGACTACATTAGGAGCAATAGACCTTTTCGCAACTACTATTTTGAAGAAGTTACTTTTGGGCCGATAAAGAAAATTATGAGTCACATTGGGAATACTGCAGAGGAAATAGTATTTGATAATGTTGATGTGGGTGACAAACAGTTTTGTGCTATAATGAGCCTTTTGTCAAAAATTCGTTCAATAACAATAACTCGTTGTTCGCCGCTATTCATGTCTGGTTCTTTTTTAGACAACACTGATGATCGCTTGTCTCTCCGTTTAAGTTTTGCCAGAATACAACATCTTTCCCTGAAAGATAATCAGTACTTGTCAGATGCAATTTTATTACGCATTACAGAAATGATGCATAGTATTAATACATTGGATTTATCTGGATGTCATATTGCATATCATAATGCTATTCAACGACGATTTTATCCCAACGATGTCGATGTCGCACCAAGTGAATCTATATTGACGTTTAAGTTCATTATACGTATAATAAAAATGCATCACCAAAACTTGCGCAGCCTAAATCTTAGTAATACATTAATAGGTGCTCCATCACTGATTGCCTTAAGTGATCTAGGATGCAAAGGGCTCCAATTACAAAATCTGGGGCTTGCTAATTGTAGGCAATTAAACAATCTATCACTTCAGTCATTTTTAAAAAATCAGAATAAGCTATTGACACTTGATTTGTCGGGCACAATCTGCGTTAATGATAATTGTATAGGTGTAATTGTAAAAAATCTTCCATTACTGCAAGAACTTAATATTTCTGGTTGCATTAATATTACAAACAATGGTTCATCATTGTTAGGTGAGCTTAAATACTTAAAAAATTTAAACGTGTCGCGCTGCGATGGTATACAATCAGAAGGTTTTACCCATGGTGTGGCAGCGAAACCAAATGCAACACTTTTATATCTGCAAATGGCTCATTTACAAGTAAGCGAGGAAGCTATAATGCTAATAGCGAAAAATCTGCCAGAACTCCGTGTTTTGAATCTAGCGCACTGTTTGAATGGAGTTACCGATGAAGCAGTTCAATGTATTATTAGGAATTTACGTTGGTTACGGGACTTATCTTTAGTAAATTGTTTTCGGGTAAGTTGTGTATTAACACAATTCTATGTGAATTCCAGCATTAATAAGAAATAATAATTCACATTTAAGATTACAGATGTGGCACTGACAGGCATTAATATTTCGCAACTAGCTCTTGTGCCGAACTCACAGAATTCAATTGATAAACTAGATCAACTCTCAATTTCTTCTTTAGCCGATGGAAATCTTTTAAATGATTGCAATCATTCAATAAAGATTTCATTAAGGAGTAAAGCCGAAGAAGAAATCGTTCGAGATACTATAAGAAAAAAAGCTATGGTTGCAACTTATGAAATGAACTTGATTGAAGAATGTGATGTGGACGGCTACAGTATAAAGCAACTACAAGGGCTGAGGTCCTTATACTTAGGCGGTTGCAATAAAATATCCGATGTATCTTTGAAATACGGTCTAAAATTCGTGGAATTACAAAAGTTATCGCTTTCGAATTGCCAACAAATTTCGCTTGTAGGTATTGAGCAAATGGTACACGATTGTCCTTCAATAAAGATACTTGATTTGTCGGATTGCGAAAATATTAATGACAAGGCTATACAGTCAATTACAATAAATCTTACTAGACTTCGAGCGTTGCATATCAATGGTTGCAGCCAACTTACTGATCACACTTTAGACGCAATTTTAGTTAACTGCAAAAATCTTCAGGTAAATAAGTCAATTTTATTTAGTATTTTAAAATATAAAATATTTTAATTTTTATTGTTACTCTATGAATATACATTATTTTATAGTCAGCAGAGTACCAACTTTTTCTGTCTTATTTCCTGTTTAAAATATCCATATTACAATAAGTAATAAATCCAAAATTTATTTAAAACTAGAAAGGCTCAAGGTCGTAGTTGAGCTTTTTGGTAATACGTTGTTCTTTAGCGGGCTGGTAACATCTTCTTTTTAAGCGGGTTTGATTACCGGATTGTACCAAAGCATTAGCTAATGGATATGGATGATCGCGGCGTTTAAGTTCATTACATTAAGTTTGATAACCGAATTGTAGCAAAGCATTAGCTAATGGATATGGATGATCGCGGCGTTTAAGATCATTATTCTTCTTTCCAAGTGAATGCACAGACAAATTTAATATTGTGCTACTAAGATGTTATTCAATTTAATCGGCAAACACATTCTCCTTAGTGACTAGACTCTAGTACCCTTTAAGCTCTCATATGGTAGACATAGGCATACGACTCTGTTGTTGTTGTAGCGGCAGAAATATTCTTGTGTGTCTTGCCGACTTCCTTGAATTCCTTTTCCTTACTGAGCAAATTGTATATTATTAAAAGTACAACACAATATAAAAAATGTGTATTTATATGAAAAGTTTTTTCTACTAAAAATATTATATAAAATTTGACATTGGGTTCTATGAGTCGATCAATAGAAAAAAAAAGTTTATTATACCATTTAATGTTCAGAGTGATATTTATCTGATGTCAGTTTTCCCAATAGTTTTTCGCTTCATTTTATCGGTAATTTTTCTTATATTTGAGTACTTTATTTTTATTAGTTTGAATGTAATTCTTTCTGACGTTTATAATCCAATTTATTTTATTTCACACAATAGTTTGTTAATTTTAATAGTCCAAAGAAAATATAAGGCAACTCTTTGGCCTTATCACGCTATTATATTATACTACAATTGTTTGAATATAAACTAGAATTTAATAATTATTTTTATATGTTTGTAGACACTTTCAATACATCGCTGTCCCCGTATATATACTGATATTGAAGACAGACTTTCAGAAATGTCTACATTACGTGATTTAAAAATAGACAATTTACCAAATCTGGACAATGCTTGCTTACTTCGATTGAACAAACGTCTTGATTACTGATATTTCGCAGCCATTTCTTTTCTTTTATTTTTGTATTATTTTCTGATTAATAATAATGGTTGAGATGCGAAGGCATTTTAGAGTATCAAGGTGTTATAGCTACTAAGTGTTTATTGTACTTGTCAGTAAGTCTCTTAGATTAATTCTTAATATTGTATATAAAACTGTTTTTAGACGAAGTATTTACATATAGGTATGTATTAAAGTTTTTTTTAATTAGTGCGTTTGAAATAAAATATTTGAAAAATCTTGATAATGTTACATTAAGTATTTGAGTCACGTAAGGATAAATTTAATCGATACCCCAATGATGTTGTAGTAGCTCCACAAAACATTCCTAAAGTAATTTTGAGGAATGCTACCGAGTTAACCGTCCTTGGCCAGATTAAAATCCATGTCTGTTCCGATTACGTATAATCGACTTGGCGGGAATGTATCAAAATGATGGCATCGATCCATTCCATCCCCTATGTCTATTTACCGAATATTAGCATCTCTACAGTTATATATCGGTCATTGTAGGATAAATGATCAATCCAAGTAGTAAACATATATGATATACAAGTATATTGTTAGAGATTGTTCAAATAATTTGTTTCACATCGAGATAAAGTAAACAATATTGTAATTACAATTTTTTAATTGTTGAATTTTTTGTTAAAATATTTATTGTATATTATTTATATTATAATAATGGCCCCTATTACGGGTTTCAACCTATCTGCATCAGGGTTAAAGTTTTGAAATTCGGTATTATGGTTTTCAACTCATCCCATCAAAAAAAATTTAGGTTGAAGTGTTGTCAAACCAGAGAACTTAGACGAATGAGAAGGTGCAGGCAGAGAATGTTAATACCACCCCTGCAGACGCCTGCTTGCAGCGGAGCAGCCTCCTAGGAACATCAAGAGGTCCTTCCTTGACTACGTCGACGACATCAGACAGCACGTCGACCAGACTTCGGACGCAACTAACTTCAGACAAGCACTGACCGCCATTCACAGTGGAGCCATTAACACCTTCACCGACTCCCTTTCAGTGAATGGCGTAATACGAGTCAAACCACCACCCATTGCAGACACGAGTTGCCTCGCGAATCTAGAGTGACCCTCGCGCAACTTCGTTCTGGATACTGTAGCAGGCTAAACTCCTACCTATCCAGAATAGACCCCGACATACTAAACACATGTCCTGCATGCAATGAGTCTCCGCATGACACTAACCACCTCTTTGCATGCCCTACAAACCCCACTCATCTAACACCCCTTTCCCTATGGTCCGACCCCGTCGAAACAGCAATGTGGGCAATTCCCACAACAGCCGGTTCTGCACTACCGGAATTGACCCGGATTTTATCCGGCCAAGGGCTGTTATTTCGACGATCTAACCCTGTTTGGATCGGTAAGTTTTAGATTAAGTTTGTCGTCACTGGAGCAACGCCTAGCAGCAGGGTTGCTCCGTATCCTCCTGACCCGTGCTGGCATCGAGTCCAACCCGGGCCCCGAGGTATTCTACTGCTGCGTATGCGCAAAAAGGCTCCATCCAAATTCCACCTCGGTTAGGTGCAATACATGCAATGGATGGAGCCATCTTAAGACCTGCTCGGGCCTTAAGACACACAGGGAGTGGACCACGAGTTACGTGGCCCCATGCTGTCAACGCAATAATGCGACATCTGCCTCAACGGCCGTGCAACCTGCACCATGTTCGCGTACTGCGCTGCCACTCCAGTCGAGTGGCCAAAATAGGACCTCCACGGTCCTAAGGAGCTCACAAAGACAGCACAACTCCCAATCTGAAAACCCCCCCCCCCACCTTCATCCAGCTCCAATCCCCGTGCGAGAACCACACAGCAACTCCTGGTTCCTCGCACAGTCTGTTCCGTGTGTCAGACCATAATACGCCGGAACGTCACATCAGTCAAGTGCAATTCTTGTACTGGCTGGTGTCACTTCTGTCGTGTTCTGGCCTGCGCACCACACGAGAGTGGAGTGCGTCGTATGTTGCCCCATGCTGTGGGAGTCTGCCCCCGCAATCACAAGCAGTGGCGTCGCCAACCAACACCATAGTGCGACAACCGCCCATGCGGATAGCACAGCTGCAACAACCACCACCTACAAGCACCCCCAGGATCACGACTGGACACCCGCGACAAACGCGACTCTTACAATTTAACTGCAACGGACTCCAGAGCAAGATCGAGGAGATAGTTGCATTTATGAGCCGGGAGCCCGTAACGATAGCTGCGGTCCAAGAAACCAAGTTAAACAGCCGCTCAGATCTTCTGAGTTGTGCAGGTTTCAACGTTACGTAAGGATCGCGAGCGAGATAATGGTGGAGGCCTAGCCTTCATATTGCACAACACCGTGCAATATCGTCTAATCGATGTGACATCGACCGCAGGGACACTACCCTAGAATGTCAGGGAATAGCGTCCGGTCAGGCATGTCGAGCTCGAAATATTTAATATATACATCCCCCAGTTACTGTTGCCCAACAGGATATCACCCGAATATAGATGCGCTACTTCGTGGTGAAAACCGTCTGGTGCAGGCGACTTTAACGCGCATCACGATCTTTGGCATTCCTGCCTGTCAAACGATCGTAGGGGATGAGCTGGCGGAACAGATAGACGATTCGACATTCTGCACAATGAATGACGAAGCCCCACCAGAATTATGGGCACCTGTAATAGCTCGCCAGATATTACCATCGCTAGCGGTGTCTGATAAATAGTATAACCTGGCGACCTATGCTAACTCTTGCATCAGACCATCTGCCCATAATTATCTCGATCGAGAAACCTCTGACTTTATTTCTGTGGATACCGCACCTATGTTAACTTTAACAAAGCTAACTGGGTCGGCTTCACAGAAATTTACTGAAGCACCATTCCTCTCTTTC